CAGCATCTGAGTCCAGTGGGCACAAGGGTGGATAGGGCAGGATTCTTGCTGCTGCCACCCTGTTAATTTTGATAAAACAGGACAAGGAATGATGTTCCAGCCCCAAGAGCTGTGGGAGGAAAGCAGCTGAGGGATAGGTAACATCCTCTGTAAGAAGGGGATTGGGACAGTGCAGCAGGGCCGCAGTCAAAGCCCCTCCTGCAGGGCTGTGGGCTCCCAGCTATCCTGGTTCAGGTGTCCTTCCACAAAAACAGCTGGCAGGAAGGAACACACCATTCACAGGAAAACCTCTCTGATCAGGGAGAAGGCTTTCTCAGTCAAACCCTGGGGCAAAGAGGTGCAAAGACAGGGACAATACACTCCAGCAACAACCGACCCAGGTAGCGAGGAGCTGAGCGTGGCCAGATGCTGTTGTGGGCATGGGCCACACAGGAGGAGGGTTTGTACACACTTTTAAGGGTAGGTGTAACACCCCAGAATATGCAGACACACCTCGTGTGAACACATGGACCAGTTTTGGTACTGAAACGCTGCAGGGCCCTTGGAATAGGCAGCTGCCTACATCAAGTTAAAAATACCTTATTTCTCACTCCTGTGCTCCATCTGTAGTCACTGAACCGGCAGGGAAGCCAGAGAAGTTTCAGATGTGGCCATTTCACTGTGCAGTTGTAGCTGATGCAAACTGGGAAATCCAAAGGAAGAGGACACACTTAACTGTCTTCTGCTTTAACCCAGCTAAACGCAGTTAAATTCTGTTTCTGACCAAATACTCTCTGCAGCACTCTTGCTTCACCTGGACAAGCCAACATCTAGGACAGTTATCCAGGAGCACAGGGGAGACCATCTTTGTAATTCACTTTAGCCTTATCACAAAGCTGCAGAGTGTCAGCAGAGTGTCAGCTGGTTTAATTGCTGGTCACAGCATCACACCACAGTGCGGTGATCCCCAAAAGGATTTGAATCCAACACCTTTTTAGGAAACTGATTTCGGAGGCTACAACTTTAACAAATTTAAGTCTGTGAAACCTAAGAGCAGTTTTAACAGCATAAGAATTATCCCTCCTTCTTCCTTCTAACAGGTGAGAGATTGGCTTCACAATCCCCTCAGTTTGGAGCCCAGTCCCCTTCTTTCTGCAGATCATATCTCACTTCCAAGCAGCGCGTTCGGTTTTGCGTCATCACACACGCTGTGGCCAGTGTGAGACAGGAAAGCACAGGGAGTTACAGGGATGCAGAGCCCATCCTGCTCCCACTGCACAGGGCTGCCACCTGCAGCATGCACAGCTCTGGGCTTCCCACAGAAGCAACTACTATTTTGTCTTATAAATAAAAAAAGTTTATTAAATCATTTAGACTTGAAAGAAGTCACAATAATCAATGCACTCAACAATTAACAGCAAGTGCATCCTGTACACCACCAACCCAAATGGATTGATTCTGCATTTTATAAATAAAAATTAACATATTTACAGTGAGAAATAAAAGCTTGGCATTAGGCAGTTAAATTAGCAGATTACACAAATGCCTACCGGATAATTTTTTTTTTTTTTTTTTTTTTTTAAAAAGTACAAATCTACAAGATTACATACGACACGTATGACTTCATTAGGCTTAAATCTTCAGAATCACAACATTTTCGTACATAATTTTGACTATGGCTCTTCCAACCACTGCCTATAAAACCTCCCATTTAATGGCAAAAAGCTCCTTTTCCTTCTCTACAGCTTCATCTGTATAAGATGCATTCCCTAAGATCTACAGTAGTGCAGAAGTATGAAATGATTTCCTCTAATGACTGGCTATGGACAGTGACAATATGTACAACTGTGGTACTTTTTTGCTTTAAAAATAGTGCACATTCCCAGTTTACCCACCAGGGACAAAAATGGAGTCATAGTTCATTTCAAAATCATCTTCATTTCACCAAAGAGCAAGTGATCCAGATAGATACTCACTAGGCTTAGAGACTGTAATTTGCTCTATAAAAATACAGTATTTTAATTCTATTTACATGTTACAGATCTCTCACTTACCCAGCAAGCTGACATTTACAAGCTTCAAAAAACCCCAAGAAACCCCCAAAAAACTGATAATGGAGCACAACATTGGTAAGCACAGTAGCTGGACCCGTCCGCCTCGGAGAGTTAAGGTAAGGAAAATGGAATGTGGAAAGTGTGGTTACTGGTTTTCCTTGGCTGTCAAAGTAAAGGAAAATCTGTCCAACACGTCTTATACACTAAACGTGGCAAAAAAAAAAAAAAAAAAAGTTTAGGTAAACTGTTTCCAAGATAAACATTCTGCATCATAGGATCCTTCTGCTGAACAATCCCTGTAAAACCTGCCGAGTGGAAGAAGTGATCCTGAGGATAGTTATTTGCTTGGTTGTCTGGAATGTTTATTTCCTGATAGACTCATTGTCCGTGACCTCTGCCTAAGCACTGGTTTGGGTGGGAGCTCCAAGTCTTCAAAGACAGGATTTTCTATGATTGCTGCAGCCTCTGGTCTTTCAGTGGGACTTGGAGAGAGCATGTCCTTCACCATGGTGTACTGAAAGAAAACACAACATGTTTTACACGAACCAATTCATAAAGTTTTTCTTCATTAGTGTTCTGACTTCAATTGTGAACAAGCATAAAATCCCTCCAGTTTTTTTCTGAGTAATTTGGGTGTTAGTGCTGTGGCTCAGCAGCTAGAAGTGCATTAAATAGTTTAAAATGTATCAGTGCGCGTCATCATGCAGTAATTCACAGTTTCACAGCAAATCAGAGGTTTTCCTGTAAATATAAAGATAATTTGATTAGAATTAGTGTCCTGCTCCAGCTGAGCAGAGCACATCACCTTCTCCCAGGCAGCCTGCAGCTGTAAAGCAGGACAGGCTGGTCTCATTCAGCTGCTGGTCTGAAGCTACCACAAACACCTGAAAGCACCTCAGCTTTTTACTGGAGAGGTTTTGTGCATCACCTCCTCTTTATCTGCAACCACATCACTTTACAGACCTGACTAATAAGAACACAGCACAATTTGCTCATATGTTTTCCCAATGGGGAGATCCAGTTCCTGGAGGGAGATCCCATCCAGCCATGGGTGCTACCCTACAGTCTCCCCTCAGTTTGTCTGGAACTCTGCACTTTCTCCTTGGGAATACGGATTTATTGCAAGGAATCATACCATGAAGTATGTGAAATGAATGACTGCAAGTGACAAAGGGAAGTCAGGCAATACTGTATAGTTATTGGAGGTAAACTGTGTGGCAAAAGTATCGTCATCCACCTTACTGGAATGTCATAGCTTTGACATGTAGAAAAGTACAGGGATAGAGAAATGCATCTTAATAACACTAATATGGGGTTTTTTACTCCATTTTTACCTGCAAAGCAATTGGAAAACAAAGACAAAAAGCTACAATGATTAAAGAAAAAGGTATCATTATTAGCATCAGATGTACTTACCTCTTGTGCATATTTCTCAGTGAACAGGGGTGGAAACTTCAAATTTCTAACATCACTTAAGGTCTGCAAAAATAGGGAGAACAACATATAACTTTTCCAAAATAGCATTCTTCAGTAATTAATATTACTCTATTTTTCAAAAATATGCAAACAAATCAGCCTCATGGAATAAAAATTTCTTTTAAAAAAGTCTTGCTTTAGTGGTTAAAAATCACAACATACTTAAACAGACAAGTTGCTGCTTCTCTGTGTATACAGCCTGCAACAGGAGTTACAAGAATTGTGATCTCTGCAGTTTTAAATCATTCAGATACACAAACTTGTACTTTCTCACTTCAGCTCAACAAAGTCAACAACTCTGTGCACCA